TCGAATTCAGATAGTATACAACCGTATTTCAACAGCGATCTGCATCGAGACAATACACAATATTTGGAAATAACACAGAATATTATTGATAACGATATGACTGAACGGTATAAATTTATTTTTGTACAAACCCAAGCAATATTTGATATTTTGTTGTTAACAGCATGGTTGTAATTAAATCAGAAGTCGACGACACAGCTATAAAAGGCGAATATGTGGACCTTCTTTCTACTAAGTACAGTCTAAGCTAAGATAAATTTAGATATTAGGAATACTGACGTATAATTTGTTTTTTTTTTTTAGTGTTGGTGAATCAAACCTCGAGACATGTTTTAAAATTGAAAAATCTGATGTCGAGGACAGTTCTGACTGGACCGTGTCAATTCCAGAGCATCTGTCTACTGGGTAAGTCGTAAGTTAAAAAAAAGCATAACATAATAGTTGTGAGCTTGATGCGCTGACACTCGATGAACTCGCATACTCTCATATCATTTGTTTTAAATATTAATAGTAAATATTTGTACAAAAATTTTGTTAACTTTCTTAGAACCTAAAATATAGTAACTTAGACCCTGCCTAAAGATCAGCAACCGAAATTAATATTGTTATTGTTATCGCCAAAATTGTATTTTTCTCAAATAAATATATTCAACATACTTCATAGATGTTGAGACTGCTGTCATATAATTTGTTCTATTTTTATTTTTATAGTGTTGGTGAATCAAACCCTCAGACGGTTATTAAAATTGAAAAATCTGATGTCGAAGACAGTTCTCATTGGACTGTTTCAATTCCAGAGCATCATCTGTCTACTGGGTAAGTTTATTTTGTTTAGATATTTAATTTTACACTCAATCCTTATTAGTAATCTGAAGAGGACCAAATTCAAATCAATTATGTTTGTCAAGTAAATTTAAATCAATGCCTGGATTCCTATGTACATTTCAGTATACTAAACTCCATTTTATCTGAAATAAATAAAGAGAATATATTTCTGGAGTGCTTAATATATCATTATTTTTTTTATTGTTGTACAATTAAACAGCGAGGCCGTAAATAAATCGGAAGTTGACCAAATCGATGAAGATTGTTATTTCAAACCTGAATTTAAACTTGAAGCTGATCAAGATTTTACGGTTATAAAGAACGAATATGTGGATCCTTTTTCTACGGAGTGAGTCTATTTTGTCATAACGATTTACTCATTTATTTCACTTTTAATCGGTTTATTTGGTTTATTCACTCAATTTGTATATTCGTTTATTGAATTTATTTACAATTTTGATCGGTTAGGTTGGGGTTAGTTAATGTATAAGGCCGAAGACGGTACCTATAAGATATAAATGGTTTAATGTATTTGTTTCATGTGAACGATGGTAGTTATTTTATACATTGTACTAGGGCACCTCTTATAAAAATATTTCACTTGCTTCTCATGCAACAAATAATATAACTATATTTACTTTAGGAGTAAATATAGTATGTATCGTTGAATAAATCATTGTCACAGCATACTTGTTTGTCTTTACTTTAGATGTTGGTAATACTGTTGTATGATTTGTTTTACTTGTTTCTTTTTTTAAAGTTCCGTTGAATCGAACTGCGATACAGCAAGTATTAAAATTGAAGAAACCGAAGTCGAGAACATATTTTCTGATTTAACATTTTCAATTTCAGAGCCGCTGTCTACTGGGTGAGTTAATTTTAACATGTACATGTTTTTACCCCTGCGGTTAACCTAAAATCTGTGTGCACGTATCAAAATCCAGTAACTTAGTTATTATTATTAATATAATTAATAGTAGTTTACTCAATTTTTTCACAGTTTGATATTATGTTAACTAGAATTATTTACTCAATTCAGATACCGGATTAGTGCATAATGTATAGGGCCAAATATGCTGCAAACTTATACTTATGATTCAGTGTTTTCCTTAAAACATTTTTTTTATGTTTATGGAATGAATTATAACCACAACATTGTTGTCTACATTACTAACAGATTGACAACACTACCAAATAATTTGTTTTACCTGTTTTTTGTGTAGTGTTGGCGAGTCAAACGTCGAGACAAAAAGTATCGGAGCTAAAGAAGAATCTGAAACCGGTTCTGTTACGGAAAATCCGAGAAGACCGAAAATAATTCACACAGGAGAAAAGCGTTTTCAGTGCGAATTGTGCCTGAAGACGTTTTCACAGTCTGGACATCTGAAAACGCACAAAATGACGCACACGGGCGAGAGACCGTACCCGTGTGAAGTGTGTCCCAAGACGTTTACACGGCCTAGGTATCTTGAAGCGCACAAAATGACACACACGGGCGAGAGACCGTACCAGTGCGAGATGTGCTCGAAGACGTTTACGAAAAAGGGTATTTTAAAAGAGCACAAAATGATACACACGGGCGAGAAGCCGTTTAAATGCGAAGTTTGCTGCAAGACGTTTTCACAATCTGGACATCTCATAACACACAAAAAGACACACACGCCGGAGAGGCCTTTCCAGTGTGAAGTATGCTTAAAGACGTTTCGTCTACCTGGTTATCTTAAAACGCACAAAATGACACACACGGGCGAGAGACCGTTTCAATGTGAAGTGTGCTCCAAGTCGTTTTTGGAATCCGGAACGCTTAGTAGACACAAAATGACACACACTACTGAAAGGCCTTTCGAATGTACAGTATGTTCGAAAACATTTTCACTGTCTGGAACACTGAAAAGACACAAAAAAACGCACAAGAACGACGATAGCCCTACTCGGTGACGAATGTGCCTAAAAAGGTTTAATTTCCTAAAAAAAATCTAAACACATCGGTGACATGCAGATGAATAAAACCCTTTGGATTTGTTTGGCCCTTGTTTTTCTTCGCTTTACTTAACGCTGTATAGGAATGCACTCTTTTTGTTTTTTTTTTACGTTTTCTCCCTATTTTCAACATGTCCAATTCTTCTTTTATATTTTATAATTGTTGTTGTTTTGTACACAAATTATTACTATTAAGTTATATCTTTTTCTTGATCACCAAAGAATACCCTTGACAATTTTGTAAATTTACCTATATTTCATATTCTACATATTGTATATTTTATGATTATTCGCAAGTAACTAATTTATGTGTGTACACTTAAATGGTATTTTCAAATAAATATGTTTTATTATTATATAGTGTAAATTACATTGTTCAATTAATGTGGTATTTGTTATTTGAGATTTTATTTCATTTATTTGATACCTAAATGATGCTGAAAGTTATTATGAACTTCTATTCTAATATTTAACAAATTGTTATATTATGTTTCTTTATAATTTTCACCTACCTTCACATAGTAAACTTGACTGCATCAAATAAGACAATGAAACTACCACCCAAAATACTTCACTTAAATTGCACAATTAAAAGGTATTTAAAATATACAAAATACATATTATAGGGTTATAACATTTATACAAAGGTGAAAAGGTAATTGTTTTCGACTTGTTTAATTTCTATACATTTTGTCCCAACGTTAAACTGACTAAGCTATAAAAAAAACAAGGAAATAAAATATGATATTTGGTAATATATTTTACACTTAGAAAAAAATTATGTAGTTAACTACCTAATTCAAAAGTTAACTTGTACCTATATTATATTATTTAGGTATTTACAAAATATAGGTAGATAAAATGTTTAGGCATTAAAAAAAAAATATTTATACATATATTGAAATATCTATCAAACTAGTTGAATTATTAAAATAATAATATATTCAAGTGAAGTATTATTTGATACAGGAAATAAAATAAATAAATACAAAATGTATATTTTCAAAGTGAACATGCTTACATAATATTTGAAATGAGCCCCCTAAAACAATGACCTCGCTACACCCCTGGCTAGAAATTAAGTTAATTTGTTGTGTGTGAGTTTTATTACAGTAAAATTGTATTTTGTTTAGTTAACTATTTGTTGCACCGGTGAGGCAATTCTAATTTAAGTAGGTACTAATGTATAACCGAAAAAAGAACCTTTTTAAATTATTAAAGTTTTCAAATTATCAACATTATACACACATTACACATTCGACACTACAGCTGTAACTCTTTGGTATTACTAGGCAACCCCGTTCATCCCTTTTGAGCTACTATATACACCATTACACATCCTTTGCTTTGCCAGAGCATAGTCAGACGGAAGGGTGAGGAGTGGCTACGGGTGTCCGCAAATTGTTTTGACTAGAACAATAATAAATCTCCATGTATTAGGATTTAACACCAAATGGTACACCATTAGGCTTGTTTTATTAAATTATTTCAATAAAAAATAATCTTTTTTGTAGATTTTTTTTTAATTTCAAATTGTTGTATCAATTTATTAATAAATGCAAATAAATACGCCTAATAAATGTCCGCAAATTCATCGAAAAAAGACTCTTATAGAATTCTATAATAATTTACCATATTCTTCTTAAAGACACTATTGTAATATTGGCTGAAAATTGAAAAAGCTTTTATACAATTTAAACGCATCATTTTGCACATTTATTGCTCGTTACAAATTAGACATAACACACAAAATATACATAGTTTTATTAAAAAGTCAATTAAAGTTGTTTTGAATAATGGAATTATATTTGTGTGCAGGTCGGATCAGGTAAGCAACCCATATTTGAATGCCTAAAATAAAACCAATTATTATTATTATGATACAGTATAACATGCTATGCAAGCATTGTAAGTGTACAGTTAATATTAACTAGCGACATGTTATACAAATAAAAATAAATAAATAATAACAAATATAAAACTCCTAAAAAAAAACCTTACCTTATTTAATCTCCGTGAGTATCTTCTGCTTCCACTAAAACATAAATATATAAATTAGTGAGTGTATTGCAAACCGATCTGTTCGTGAAACGTCTTAGTCAACATTAGACCTCGTGGGTTGTAATGTTTTTACTGTTGAGTAATAAATTATCAATGATATTTTCCTATAATTAGGCGTATAATTTTTAAAGAGATTATGACGTTTTTGTTCGTTTATATAGTTTACTATTGCTATATATTGCTTTATTTATATCATCTAAGTACTGTAGTTTGTCTTCAATATAATCGCGCATTTTCTTTATTGAATCTAACAAATCTTCCCATGCTGCAAAAACAAATCGTTTAAACGCAAAACAAATAGGTACTAAATTGAATTGCTTAATATTAAAAATGACAGTCAAATTTTATGTGTTTATTTAATTTGTGCAAAAAGAGTTTATTTGCCAATATTTTGTTAATTATTATTTACTGTTAACTACGTACGTGTAGGTGGAACATCTTCTTTTCCACCTTGAAGGACTCCGTCTACAAGGTCTAAAAAACGAATTAAAACATTGTTAAGACGTTTAAATAGTGCACTTTGTAAGTGCACGTTACCTATTGTTATATATTTTTTATCATTGGTATCCCTACACGTTATTTATCATTAGTTTTCTATTTATCGATATCATTAAATAAGTACCTGAATAAACAGGACCATGGATTTTGTCTGAAAGAAAATTGTATGCATCCTTCAATGCATCCAGTAGATCTTTATATGCTGTTACTGCAATATCTAGTCGTTTAAACGAGAAATATTACTATTAAATTTTATTAAAAATGATGATCAAATATGAAATTGTGTTGTTTTACAATAATTGTAAAATTGATTGGTATTTTTTTTTGGCAGAGGTACATTGACGAGGTTACAATATAACATTATACAAAGAAATATGGAAAAATACAATTCGTGCAGCTCGTAGTAAAAATAAGTATCAAGATCAAAGTTTAAAAAAAAAATATATTTTATTTTAGCACACCAAACTTTACTCCTTTGACTCATAATTTTTTTTTGGTTTATTATTTATAAGTAACTTCAAAGTTTGGCATTTTAATGAAAAGTGCTGTACAAAAGAGGCAATAACTTCTTATGGCTTGAACCAAAAACTCTGGAATTTGTTCATCACTTACCTATATGTACTTATATTGCAATTTTTAGTAAAACGCCAAACTTTAAAGTTACTTTATACAAAAAAAAATGTATGAATCAAACATGTGTAGTTAATCGTGTCAGAATAAACATTTTTTTTTAATTTTGAACTTGAGTCAGCATACAAATTAATGAATGTATAAAATTTTGAATTTTTTCCCAAGTTTTAGCTACTTAGAAATTAGAAAAAATTTGTTTAGATATATTATAAAAAAGAACACTTAAATTACAATTGTTCAGTGAAAATTCTATTTCGATATTATAATTATTTATTAAGTAGCTCGGTCGTGAACTTAGGTGTTTTTACAACAAATTTAAAGAATTTAGTATCGCCCAAATCCAAAAAAATGTTTTTTTTTCCTTTTTTCGATTTTACGGAACTATTTGAATAGGATATAATATGAGTTTGAGGTATTTAGGAAATCCACATGCACACACATCAGATGATTTGGCATAGAATAACCCATGTACAGTAGGTAATTAAAACTTATACTTGCCTTTTGCGATTGAAAGTTTTGAACTCTCGCCATCTATAATTCAACAAATTGTACAATTGAGACACTTAGTAAAAAGCAGTGTGGGGAAATAGCGGAAATCGAAATAGCTTTGGAACTAAAAATGTTGTTATTTATTGAATTGAAGTTTCAGATTTTTAAAGCTATGAACCCTTTTTTAAAATATTGCAAGCGACTGCCATTACACGTACAGCGGGGTATAACCAGTCACCAAAAATATTACATGCAAAATGATAGGAGATAATAAAAGTTTCTAAAAATCATAATTTTTTCCATTAATTTCGAGATCAGTTCTTTATTGCGCTTGATATTATTTATATTTAAATAAAAAATTAACAAGTTCTGCCGGAAAAAAATTGCAATATACAAAGTGTATATCAAATTTCAAGTTAATCAATCCGAAATAGCTTTCAAAATGCAAAATTTAACTGTTTTCCAGTCTTTACCGGCATCGGGACAAAAGTTGGTAAAAAACACTGAGCAAAACGTTTAACGTGCAGTTAACTTACCATTAGTAGGTGGCTGGCTTTGTGCGACTAAATATTAAAAAAAATTAATAATATAATTCATACATTTAGTGTGGGCGATGGAATGATGTATGGTTGCATTGAAATAATAAAATGTCATCAATATGGCAATTTGTTGGATAAGTTTAAGTCTTTCTAAACTGTACTAAAAACATGAAACTTGTACATCACTTACTAAAATGTATATTGAACACCTGGTAAAAGTTTTGTAACTTGTTTTCACTAGAAGTTGTAAGAACTTGAATAAAAATTTGTTATGTGTAGTTCTAAAATACGAAATTTGAAAAATTCAAGTTCATACAACTTGTAGTGAAAATAAGTTTCCATTACCAGACTTTTACCAGATGTTTTACATACATATAAGTAAGTGCTGTACAAATTTCAAAATTGTATATCCTCCCTAAAACGTTATAAGCTTATAAATATTGCAACTTCTAGTAAAACGCCAAACTTTAAAGTTATTTTTACATCATAAAAACAAATATGATCAAAAGAGTGTAGTTAGACGCGTTGGACTAAAATTTTTTTTTTTTTAATTTTAAACTTGAGTCAGCATAAAAACGAATGAAATGTATAAAATTTTGAATTTTTTTACAATTTTAAGGTACTTAAAAATTAGAAAAAAAATTGTTTAGGGATGCTATGAAAAAAAAACACTTAAATTATAATTGTTCAGTGAAAATTCGAAATTATAATTATTTATTAAGTAACTCGGTGGTGAACTTTGTTGTTTTTACAATAAATTTAAAGAATCGTCCAAATCCAAAAAAATGTTTTACAATTGTTTTTTCGATTTTTTGGAACTATTTGCATAGGATATATGAGTTTACTATTGCTTTATATTGCTGTTTATTTATATCATCAAATAAGTACCTGTATAAACGAGTTTATCTTCAATACAAACGCGCATTTTCTTTATTGAATCTAACAAATTTTCCCATGCTGCAAACACAAATCGTTTAAACGCGAAACACATAGGTACTATTGAATTGTTCAATATTAAAAATCACAGTCAAATTTAAATCATGTGCCGCAATAACTGTAAAAATGTATTCTAGGTATTTTTTTTTTCTGGTAAGTTACTCTTGTGGACATTTTTCGAGCTTCCCTTTGTAATTTTATATATAATTATGTGTTTATTTTATTTGCCTATTTCTTGTTAATTATTATTTGCTGTTAACTACGTACGTGTAGGTGCATCATCTCCTATTCCATCTTGAAGGACTCTGCGATCGACGCCTAAAAAACGTATTAAAATATTGTTAAGACGTTTAAAAAGCCCACTCAGTAAGTGCAAGTTACCTATTGTTATATTTTTTTTATCATTTGTACCCCTACACGTTATTTATCATTATTTTTCTATTTATTAATATCATTAAATAAGTACCTGAATAATCAGAACCATGGATTTTGTCTGAAAGAAAATTGTATACTTTCTCCATGGCATCCAGTAGTTCTTTATATGCGGTTACTGCAATACCTAATCGTTTAAACGAGAAATATTACTATTAAATTTTATTAAAAATGATGATCAAATATAAAATTGTGTTGTTTTACAATAATTGAAAAATTGATTGGTATTTTTTTTTGGCAGAGGTACATTGACGAGGTTACAATATAACATTGTACAAAGAAATATGGAAAAATACAATTCGTGCATCTCGTAGTAAAAATAAGTATCAAGGTCAAAGATTTAAAAAAAAAAAGTATTTTATTTTAGCACACCAAACTTTACTCCTTTGATTCATAATTTTGTTTTGTTTATTATTTATAAGTAACTTCAAAGTTTGGCATTTTAATGAAAGTGCTGTACAAAAGAGCCAATAACTTCTTAGGGCTTGAACCAGAAACTCTGGAATTTGTACATCACATACCTATATGTACTTATATTGCAATTTTTAGTAAAACGCCAAACTTTAAAGTTACTTTATACAAAAAAAAAAAATGTATGAATCAAACATGTGTAGTTGTAACATGTGTAAGTCGTGTCAGAATGTAGATTTTTTTTTAAATTTTGAACTTGAGTCAGCATAAAAATTAATGAATGTATAAAATTTTGAATTTTTTCCCAAGTTTTAGCTACTTAGAAATTAGAAAAAATTTGTTTAGATATATTATAAAAAAGAACACTTAAATTACAATTGTTCAGTGAAAATTCTATTTCGATATTATAATTATTTATTAAGTAGCTCGGTCGTGAACTTAGGTGTTTTTACAACAAATTTAAAGAATTTAGTATCGCCCAAATCCAAAAAAATGTTTTTTTTTCCTTTTTTCGATTTTACGGAACTATTTGAATAGGATATAATATGAGTTTGAGGTATTTAGGAAATCCACATGCACACACATCAGATGATTTGGCATAGAATAACCCATGTACAGTAGGTAATTAAAACTTATACTTGCCTTTTGCGATTGAAAGTTTTGAACTCTCGCCATCTATAATTCAACAAATTGTACAATTGAGACACATAGTAAAGGGCAGTGTGGGGAAATAGCGGAAATTGAAAATATCTTTGGAACTAAATATGTTGTTAAAAATTCAACTGAAAGTTTCAGATTTTTAAAGCTATGAATCCTTTTTTTAAAAAATTGCAAGCGACTGCCATTACACGTACAGCGGGGTAAAACCAGTCACCAAAAATATTACATGCAAAATGATGGGAGATAATAAAAGTTTCTAAAAATCATAATTTTTTCCATTAATTTCGAGATCAGTTCTGTATTGCAATTTGATATTGTTTATATTTTAAAAAAAAATTGCCCAGGACTGTCGGTAAGAAATTGCAATATACTAAGTGTATATCAAATTTCAAGTTAATCAATCCGAAAAAGCTTTCAAAATGCAAAATTTAACGGTTTTCCAGTCTTTACCGCCATCGGGACAAAAAGTTTGTATAAAAACACTATGCAAAACGTATAACGTGCCGTTAATTGTAGCTTACCATTTGGAGGTGGCTGGCTTTGTGCGACTAAATAAAAAAAAAAATTAACAATATATTTTATACATTTAGTGTTGGCGATGGAATGATGTATGAGTGCATTGAAATAATAATATGTCATCATAATGGCAATTTGTTGAATAATTTTAAGTCTTTCTAAATTGAACTGAAAACTATAGAATTTATACATTACTTACTGGTAAAAGTTTTGAAACTTAATTTTACTAGGAGTTGTAAGAACTTGAATAAAAATATGTTATGTGTAGTTCTAAAATACGAAATTCGAAAAATTCAGTTCATACAACTTGTAGTGAAAATATGTTTGCATTACCAAACTTTTACCAGATGTTTTACATACATATTAGTAAGTGCTGAACAAATTTCAAAATTTTATACCCGCCCTAAAACGTTATAAGCTTATAAATAATGCAACTTTTAGTAAAACGCCAAACTTTAAAGTTACTTTTACATCATAAAAAAAAAATATGATCAAAAGAGTGTAGTTAGTCGTGTTAGGATAAAATATATACATATTTTTTTTATTTGAAACTTGAGTCAGCATAAAAACGAATGAAATGTACACAATTTTGAATTTTTTTTACAATTTTAAGCTACTTAAAAATTAGAAAAAAAAATTGTTTAGGGATGATATGAAAAAAATAACTGTTCAGTGAAAATTCTATTTCGATGTTATAATTATTTTATATTTATTAAGTAATACGGTCGTGAACTTAAGGTGTTTTTACAATAAATTTAAAGAATATAGCATCGCCCAAATCCAAAAATTTGTTTACAATTTTTTTTCTTTTCGATTTTTTGGAACTGTTTGCATAGGATATATGAGTTTGAGGCATTAGACACGTTAAAAATCAATAAACAAAAACACTACACTGTAATACAAATACTATTCAGCTGCGTATCAAAGTTGTATCGTTAAAAAATACATTAATATGAAAAATACATTTCAAGTAGTCACCTAATAAAGGGCAAGGAGGGGAAATGGCAGAAATGGAAATATCTTTGGACTAAAGGCCTAAAAATGCTGTTATTTATTGAATTGAAAGTTTTAGATTTCAAAACCAAAAACCCTTTTTTTTTTTAAATTGCAATCGACTGCCATTATACATACAACGGGGTAAAACAAGTCACCAAAAATTGTATATGCAAAATGACAGGAAATAATAAAAGTTTCTAAAATTAACAATATAAATTCATACTCGCATAATACATTTAGTGTTGGCGATGGAATGATGTATATGGATGCATTGAAATAATAAAATTCCATCGATATGGCATTTTGTTGGATACGTTTAAGTCTTAACCGAGAATGAAGTGTTGTAAAAGTACAAACACAAATAATTACTTACCCAACGATATTCCCAGGATAATGGCAATTATAAAAACATTTGTGATTTTTTGCATCTTGTAATTATTACAAACGGTTGTTAATCTAATAGTTGTGTAAAAACACTGTTAAGTCGTTCGATAAAAACTGAGAAAAACGCACGGCTGAAAAATAAAATGTATTCATACGTGCCGTGACGGTGTATGTTTGACAGTGTCTGTTTTTTTTAAACATATCTACAAGGCCCTGTAAAAAAAAATTGACATGGTTCATACGTAGGCGAATAGCAGTATAATATTTTCGCAATGTAAATTGTTTTAACAAGTGTTTTTCTCGGTTCTTGGGTACTACACCGAATGGGCGATTGTTTTTGTCGTTGTACTCCTAAATACAATTTTACCAAGACCTAGTTTCTTATTCTTATTTTACTACATGTAACCGTTTTGAATATAAACTGTAGACATTTTTGCTCTGCATCGGTGCTAAAATCCTAACTGTTTCACTCATTCCATCTTTGAACCACGATGAAAACATTTGGTTCGAGTGTCCAATTCTATAAAAGTTTTATCAATTGTAAAAACGCCCATTGTTTGTGTTCCTCTCAATTTCAAAATATTTAAAGCGACGGCACAATTTTATAGTCGGTGGATAATTTTCAAAAAATTAGTTGTCTCGTTTTAGATCAATAAGTCCACCAAGGATCCCACGGGTTTATAAGACAATGTAAAGATTATTTTAATTGTTAGAAAGTAAGGTTTTTGAATAATTTTGCACATCCGCGGGCGATTTTCAAAAGTCAAACCAAGCTCAATGTTCACATATTAAAAAAAAAAAAAAATGTTTACATAAATCCAATGTTTGCCTATACTGAGCTTGCGTTACAATAATGTGCACCTAACGTTGAGAAATACCTACATGGGATGTAAATTTTCATGGCCCACCTGACTTATTAACTATTTTCTAAAATCATGAAAAAAACCACTTATGTGAAACATTTTTGGTTTTTATCCGTACAATGGTGTTTTAATGCCATTGCAATTTATTCCCCTTCGGTAAGAGGATTTAGGGAGGGGTGATATGCTCCCCAGGGGAGGGCAGAAAGGTAATAATAATAATCGACGTTTTGTAGTATAATAATCGTAAGCAAGACTGTTTATTATAAAATACATTACATTCGCTTTGGTTATTTCAATATATTAACAATAGCAGTTGGTAATTTCAATGAGTTGTCCATATTTTAAATGCTTGATGTGTTTCGTCATAACCGAGTGGCAAGTGAACGCTTTTTTACATTTCACTCGAATGAAGTATGCTTGCCATGCTTGGCTCCCAAACAGCAGTGAGAATATACGTATCGTTGTTTACAGCAGTTAGGACACAATTATAAGCATCGTCCAACTTGACATTTTTTATAATTCGTGCACTGGGCTGATTTATACTCAAGAGCATTCCTTTCAAACGACATATCATGATCGGCAAAGCAAAATGTGCACCTGTTTCAACTTAAAACAAAATGAAAACATTTCATTTGGTAAATTGTCGAATGGTTACAACTTTTATTTATAGTGCAAGACATAACTAAAACCCGTGCAAAACACATTTTGTAGAAAAAATATAACAATATACAAGGTGTTCGTATTGTACAGCCATGTTACTTTTAGTCGAAATGATATAAAATACATTTAAAGTAAAATGTAGTTTGTTTTATAGTTAATTTGACTACTATTTCTTATTAATTACATCAATGATGCTTTAGAAATGCCTAACCGTTTAAGTTTTAAAACTTGACAGTGCTCTAAAAAATACTGATAGAAAAACAACAAAATTGTGATTGATTTTCCAGTAAATGAGTGTCTAACGTTCTAACCTAACCATACTGAACAAATGAATCACCCTGTATACACGCAAAAAAGTAAAACCTTTACAACACTACATATTATTATATGGATATTTACTAGTGGCGATTATAGCTTGCAGGGCTACATTAATTCTCGAGATTCGATCTTTTCCAAGGTCTATCCAACCAATATCTGCTAAAAATCGAAAATTACATTGGTAATAGCGTATAATTACTAAAAATACAAAAACAAATTAGTTGCTCATATATGATTATAAATTCAATTTCTAAGAGTCGCAATTTGGTGCACTATCTGCCAAAAGTATTGATAGCCTAAGAAAGTAATCTTCGGGTACTCGAAACTCAAATAACTTATACTTATTACACATTCAAATTTTGAAATTAACATTGGACAAATGAGAAGCTAATGTTTCAGGGCTTGACCAGTGTTTGATCGTACAGGATTTGTCAACGAATGCTTTTTTGTAAGTTAAACCTGTTTTTTTTATCAGTATTCGAAATAGATACTTAAGTAAAACTATTCGACTTTTAAAGTTGTATATGAAAAAAACTGTATTCACCCATTTGAATAATTACTACATTTAAGTTCTTAGCAGTGATGTATTCAAAGTTCAGAACGTTTGTGCTGTGCCATGAAAAGTTGGCTCTTGTACTTTGTACGATTGGAGAGTCTTAATTTAAGCCTGTTATATTATAGATTTATACAAAACGGTGCTGTATTGTTTAAAGGACTGTTTTGTACGTCAAATAAATGTGTTTTTACTTGGGTTTTCAACAACCGGCACAGGGATAGCTGTAACAAATGTATAAAGCGATTATAGAGTAAAGAAAAAACAGATTTTTATGTATAATTAACGTTTAACTGTCACAATAAAACTTATATTACTTAGACCAATTAATCATTGTAAAATATTGCTTAAAACTAAATAAGTATGAATTTTGAAAATTGTTCGCGAAAAACGTTATATTTTAAACTTACATGTGACGTACATTATTTCTATTCGTAAATCAGTCTCGTATCTTATCAATTCTAACATGTATATAAAAAAAAAAACAAATACTTTTTAATGTTTTTCTATATTTTTTATGATTAATGTCATAATATGCACATAATGTATAATATAGGACTCTGTGTAAACTATTGTAACTATTAATTACAATAAAAGTGGTATATCTACAAATTGTATGATAGAAATTAGTAGACATGTGTATGATTAATCTCAGGGTATATACAGGGTGTCCCACGAAGATTCGACAAACAAAATATCATTTATTCTAGTGAAAAAAGTAAAACAGATGCAAGCGATACAAATCGTGGTGTTTAAAGCGCAAATGAGTATAAATCAATTAAAAAAAAATCTTGAAAATATTCACAAGAACAAAAGTTAATTAATTTGTACAATCATTGTTGGAGACTATGTACCTATATATAATGTATATATATATATATATATATATATATATATATATATATATAAGTATATGACTTACTTGGTATGGTACGATAATTTACAGATGCTAAAATCAAACCAAAAATATTTTATACTTAAGTATTACGAGACAAATATGTGGAATTAAATCCATAAATTGTAAGGAATATTGTTACTTGGCGCAGCTACCATATAAGCAATTTTCTCTGAAATAACATAAATTTATTTTTATTTATTTTTCATTCTTTTATAAATTGTAACAGAATAATTTTAAAAAAATACTGTGCGTGGTATTACGGATGGAGTAAACTTCTTTTGGAGTTTGTACATTGCTCAAAATATTAATTTGTCGTACCAATACGGTGCGTTACCCATTTTATATATTTTATTATTTTAAAATCTATGATACCTTGCCTACCAACCGCCATATTAATAGTTGTAATTAAATCACCCTTAAATCACTACCTGTTTTAAGAAGTTTTATACTTAAGAAATATCCCATTAAAATTTAAAGTAAATCTATATTAAGATGTATTTATCACACTGACCATTTAGTATACAAATAAATGGTCGATGCAATTTTTATACCACTTTCTAGTATTCATTTCGACTAACTAACTAATCAATTCTATTTGTATTATTATACAATAATTATTACCCATCTGAAAATGTCCAAAAATCATACATCTAATCACGTCCGGCAATCTATCTAGAATAAAGAAATAAAGGGTCGATGTACAAAATAAGATAAAAGTACAATCGTAACAGATACAGGGTGATCCACCTATCGTGAACCACTCAATATCTCATGGGGTTTAATAAAAAAATAAATTTTTCTTTTTTTTTTTATACAATGTGATCTCAATTTTTCACAATTTTTTTTGTTTTTACCCCCTCCCAACTTTATTTTTTTGATAGCGACTTTCGAAACTTAAATGTTAACGTTTATATATTATTAACTTTTCAAATTGAGAATAATGTACTTAAAATTTTGACTGGTCGATAATCCAGTTTCGGATAACTGTTTTTAAAGTTATAAGTGTTTTAAAGTTAGGATGGGAGGAGAAGTGCGGTTGGGAAATGACTGGTTCACGATAAGTGGATCACCCTGTATATAAAATTTAAGAATAAGAGTACACAGTCATTTAGAGGCGACATTTTAAATTGATGCTACTTGTATGTTATCTTAAGTAGTCACTACCTATTAAAAGCCGAGTGTGCTGTAAGTAAATTATAAAAACGTCTGTATTTACACAGCGCTTAGAAAGAAAAACATTAATTTTGATTTTTTTTTTATCATTTGATAGTCCAACAAACATGACAAAACAATTGGTTTTCAGTTTATTAATTTTAAATACATCTTACCTCCTACGAGCTCGATGTGTTTGTCTGTCATAATTATTAAAACATATACACATTAAAACATTGGAACTTTTTAAGTTATTTTATATTTCTATATATACGAAAAAAGTGTCTACTCACTTGTAATGGCAAACTCTTTCTTATAATCCGCTGTAAAAAAAAAAAAAACAAAACGTGAAATATTGGTTTGGTTTTAATTTGTTCACCACCTCGAGTATATAAGATAAGTACTCGTATGCTTGGTACGTGTAAAAATAAAAATAAATTACCATAGGTAACTGCCAAAACACTTTCAAATGCCAACGATATTAAAAAACAAAAAATGTTCATTTTGATCTACAAATAATAATACAAATAAAAGCTTTTCACGTGGACATGTTGTGGCCTGAAAAACTATAAAAAGCGTACTTACAACCATTGAAGTCGAATAGTATTACTTAGTTAAAATATTGAAATAACAAAAATTGAAAAGACAATATGATCAATTCGATAGGCTAATTAAACTATCTGTTTTAAAATGATTTTCTCGCGACTTATCGATGGCTTTTATGCTGACCGAAACAGTAAAATACTAGTGTTGTTTTTTCAGTTGGTACATGCAAATATTATATTATTTTATCATGATTCATATCATGTGTACATAGCGGATTTGTTAGTTTTCCTCTGAGTTATTGCTTTAGCAATCGCTTGTATAAACAAATGCTTGCATTAGGAAATTTTAATTATTTTATCGCACATGGCATTTTAGGCTTTATTTTAAGGTGCAGTAGACTTTACAAATAATATGCGAACCTGAGAAATAAGTAATCGATAGGTATTGTTTTTTATAATATACATTTTACCGATGCGGAGTTACAACACAAACAATTATCTCAGAAGTCTTTGTTTATTTTTTTTTTTATAGAGAAAGAGCCAAAAAAAATGGGAAAATTAAATTTTAGTCGCAGACTGTAAATTTCTAGGTTGCTGTTTTGTTAGTAGTGACTCAACAAATACCGTTGATACGACATTGCCTATTGTTACTATGGCATCTAACCTAACCTAACCCAACCAAACTTAACTAAACTTAACGAATAATAAAGTTTTAAACATATATTATTTCGATATTTTTAAAAAAAAAAGTGCTATAAATGGAGTGAAGAATAAGAGATTGCAGCTATAGGGAGGGGAGGGGAAGGAGAGGTTATTTTTTAAATTCATATGATCAGGTTATAATGTTATTATAACATTTGGTTTTATTGTTTAGTAATATGATTTTGGTTGTATTAAATATTTGTATCGTATTCCATTATTACATCAAACACATTTTAAGTATGCCAACTAGTTTTAGTAAAATTTATTTCAGACATCAGTTAAAGTAGACGCAGCTGCGACAAATAACAAATATTGTTAGTTTTTTTTTTATGGTACATTTTTTCTATACTCCAAGTGTCATTATTTTATTTATTTATTTTTAAAACTATAATATTTGTTTTCTATTGCACTACTTACTGCGAGAAAATTACACGATTGTGTGTGTTTTTTTAATTAATTTTAAATATAGTCTTAATAAACCTAAAACTATTGTTTTTAAATAATCTTTACAAAAACAATAATTTTTTTTTTCGTTATTTAAATTAATAGGCTTCGACATAAAGGTCTAGGTTATTGGCTTAATTGTGACATGCAATCTTTATAAGCGTAACAAATCTCTGAGAAGAGATTAAGTTTTATACAAGTAGTTTAGATAAGATATGTCAATGTGTCAAGTGAAATTATTTGTAAAAATATTTGTTTTTTTAGAGAATCTTGTTGAATAGAAGTAATTTTTTTTAAATGCCTGAGGTTTTTTTCAAAATTAAAGGTTAATGATATTAAGTAATTTAAAAATTAGTAAAGTATAACAAAGTATTAGCAACAAACTATGAGTAATAAATAAGTGACATTATTTAAATTGGTTGGTTTTATTTGGTTTGGCGGAACATTGTAAAAGTTCTAGCGTCTAGCGGGCTTGGAAACTAAATGTTCATTTTTTTTTACAAAAAAATAATTTTAGGGTGCTAAGTCCTCTTTTCTCTGGGTCGTTTAACGGATCAGCCGGTATAAAATAAAATCAATTCTATATATTATTATGGTAAAGAGCGACAAATCTGTGGTAATCGCGAGCAATACTTTTTATTATAAAATACAGCAACATTCGATTTGGTTATTTTAATATATTATTAATAGCACTTCAAAATTTCAACAAGTTGAGAAATTATTTTTCACATTTAACACGAAAAAAGTATTGTTGCCAGTCTTGGTTCCCAAAAAGGACTGAGTGTGCACGAACTGTTGTTTATAGAAGTTAGGACACAAAAACCGGCATTGTCAAGTTTAGCATTTTTTATATATGCAGTTGGCCTATCTATACTCAAGATCAATCCTTTGAAACGACATACCTTTTTAGCCATAGTAAATAATCCCTCTCTATCAACTAAAAAAAATAAAAACATAATTTTTAGTAATTTGTCAAATTAAGCTTAATGGTAGCTACTTTTATTTATTGTGCAAGAAACAAGTAACAACTAAAATATATGCATAAAAAATAATACAATATATGGCCTGTATGACCTTATGGGAAAAAAATTAATTACACCAAGGAATCTTTATAAATGTTGTAATGAACGAATTACAACGTTGACTGTATTAACCATAAATTTCAGTAATACAGCAGAAGCATTTATAAAGAAAGACATTGTCATTTTGTTCAAAAAAACTCAATAGAGGATATTGTGTTAAATTATTTGTTATTGGTGACTACATTTGTTATATAGTATACGCATTTATACTCCAGTAATCTTTATTCTATATTCTTGATTTATTAGCTATGCGTTATTAACTATTAAGTCATAAAAATAATAAATGTTTTATCAATAGTTTAAAAATGTTACATTCATTTTTTATCAGAAAAATCACTGTTTAGTCTACCACTAAGGCATAGATAACCTTGTGATCGATAGACGAGGGTCTCAATTTAAAATTGTATTAAAACAGCAAAATTTAACATCTAATTGAGAAAAATATTATTTATTAGAAATTATTATTGAAATACGTATATTTTAATAATATATGTATTTGTAGTTTGGGTATTAAAAATTTCATAGCTTGCTTTTTTAGTTTTTATCAAATAATAATATTTTATGTTTTTTTCATCAAGAAACAGTAAATTAATGAGATGGTGGGGTGACTTTTGAAACTTAAACAGTAACGTTTACATTTAATTAGTTTGTCAATATGATTATGGCTTATTTCTCAATCATTTAGACTAGACCAAAGATAAGAGGTTGATAATAGAAGTACCAAAATAACAAATGTGCACAAAAGTACAAATTTTCAAACATACCCATGTTCCTATGTTTAGTAATATAAATATTTATTAAAAGAAAAACTGCAAAGTTGAAAATTATTTTCCGAGAAAATAAGTGACTTACTTTTTCACCAAACCTAAATAAACTAATGGAAAATCATTACAACTATAAATGGATATTTACTATTTTCGATTAGAGTTGCCATAGCTACTTTAACTCTTGATCTTCTATCATTTCCAAGTTGTGACCAACCAATATCTTCAAAATATTTAAAATATCTATGTTAATAACACATATTAACTAAAAATAAAAAACAAATTAGTTGTTCATAGTGACGTTGTACAAACCAACAATGGTCGATGAGAAGCTAAAGTTTATGGGTTCGACCAGTGTTTGATCGTACAGGATTTATCAACGAATGCTTTTTTTGTTTGTGTTAGTTCAACCAGTTTTTTTATCAGTATTCGAAATAGATACTTAAGTAAAACTATTTAATTTTTTCAAGTTGTATATAAAAAAAAACTGTATATACCCTTTTGAGCAATTACTAACTTTCAAGTTCTTAGCAGTGATGTTTTCAAAGTTTAGAACGTTTGTGCTATGACATGAAAAGTTGGCTCTTGCACTTTGTACGATTGAAGGGTCTTAATTTAAGTCTGTTATATTATAGATTTATACAAAACGGATAGCTATATTGTTTGAAGGACTGTTTTGTACATCAAATAAATGTGTGATTACTTAGGTTTTCAACATCCGGCACAGGGATAGCTGTAACAAAAGTATAAAATAATTATAGAGTAAACAACAATCAGATTTTTTTTTTTATATAATTAAGGTTTAATTGTCACAATAAAACTTATATTACTTAGAGTTTAGACCAATTAATTAATGTAAAAAATTGTTCTAAATTTTAAATGTTCTCGAAAAATGTTAACTGTATAAGTACATACACGTGACCATAGTTATTTCTTTTTGCAAATCAGTCTGGTATTTTATGCATTCTAAAACAAAAAAATGGAATATATTTTAATGTTTACCTATATATTTTTGTATTCATGTCATATGCCCATAATTTATAGATGTCTCTGTGTAAACATTATAACTTTTAAATACAACATGAGTGGTTACTTGGTATGGAACGAGAATGTGCTAATTCTGAAATTAAAAACGAAAATATTTTATTCTTAATAATTATTATGAGGTAACTATGACATATTGTTATTTGTTACCCGGTGCGGCTAACATATAAGCAATTTTCTCTGAAATAACAATAAATTCAATTTATTAATTTACAGTATTAGGGATTTTTGTTTTATGATTACCCATCGGTGCACGTCCAAAAATAATATTTCTTATAACGTCTGGCAATCTATCTGGAATATACCGATAATGGATTGAGAACTATTGAGTGTACAAAATAGGTTTCCAGTAAAACTAGCCTTTAGTATATCGATTTTAAATTCATCTTAGTATCTTACCTCCTGCAAGGTCGATGTGTTTGTCTGTCATTAATTATTAAAATATGTAAGTATTAAAACATTGAAACTTTAAAACTTGTCGAGTTGTTTTGAATGTAAAAAATGTTTACTCACTTGTAACGGCAATCGCTGTCTTATATTCCTCTAAAAAAAAAAAAAACATTAAATTGTTAGTTTTTTTTTTTTAGCTTTTACTTCCTCAAGTGTTTAAGACAAACTAGGCACGTGTAAAAATGTAAAAATTACCAGTAATATCAGCCAAAACATTAACAAAGGTAAATGATATTATGAAACAAAAAAATTTCATTTTCATCTGCAAATAATAATAAACATAAAAGTCATTTGTAATGAGTAAGTCGCCAATAAGCAATGCCAATGAGCATTTATGATGCATTTGAGATGCATTTATACAATTCAGTAGTGATTCTTTGTGGTCGTTGGTTTTTATTTATAGTGATTTACAAGATTAAATGTGTAATTTTTTTTTTGAAAAACCATAAAACAAAGATTTTTCGAGGAAATTTTATACTATTTTATTAACCTCACTCTAGATCTACCTTCAGTCTATCTTATAGACCTTAAGCGCTTAATCTGCACCTAAAGAACAAATAAATACTATGTTTCCACCCCTTTAAGAGAAAAACGTTATAATGTACTTTTAGTGTGTCTAAGTATATTCATAATACTATTTCTGAAAAATATTCTGAATCGGTACAACATTTGTGTAGTATTAATAACATTATTTATAATTAATTAAAACGACCTAGTGGTTAAAGATTTTTCGCAAATTCTTGTACAAACTCATCATGAAAAATGTATTAAAGTTGTACTTACAATCATTGAAGTCGAATCGTGTTACTTTTTTAAAATATTGAAATAACACAAATTTAAAAGACAATACGATCAATTTGATTGGCTTATTAAACTGTCTATTTTAAAATGATTTCCTTGCGACTCGTCGATGGCTTTTATGTCGACCGAAACAATAAAATATTAGTGTTGTTTTTTCAGTTGGCATATGCAAATATATTTCATAATGATTCATATCATATATACATAGTGGAGTTTCAGCTTTCATTTGAGTTATTGCTTTAATGTGTCACGTCTATTCATATTAGAGAAATGTAATAAGAAAATAAAGAATTGGGATAAGAAATCAGAGATAAAGGACTAGAGATAAGCGAAGATATTAGATTATGTAATCAGATATGAGATTAATAATGGAAGTACAAAATTACCAAAAATCCCGGAGTTCTATATTTCTATATTAAGACATATCCTAGTTCCTTTGTACTACCCTGCAGCGGAGGTACTAATTTCAGTCTACTGATACATTATTTTTACATTTAGGTCCATGCCTGCGCACACTAACGTTTTTATTAATATGTTTTTGACACGAATATGTCCTATGGCACAAGGCGGTGAAGAGATTATAATATGAATGTGATGAGAACAAGATAAATTCTGGGTAATTGAATTCTTTTGTTTATCCCTCCTTAAAAATACTGTATCTGATTCAAACCATTTTTTTTTAAAATTTTGTTTACTAACAGTCTAGACGGTGCTGCGGTATACACGTTTTACAATAATTGATATATTACCTTTTTTTTTTTTAAATAAAATTAATAAACTGATTTATAATGTAATTATGTAGTTATAATTAAAAAATAGTATGAGGGGAGATTTGCACAGTTTTAGCTTTGATAATTCATTACATAAATTAATATGATTACTATAAATTTAACTACTCAAGCAATCAGAAGCTGGGTATGGTATAGATATACCTACAACCTACATGTTACCAACACTTTTTTACCTGCGCATAGAATTTACAAAAAATAATATATGAAATTATTTATATTTAAATAAGTACTGAATAGTTTTTAAAAGTATCTTAACGAGAGGGCAAATATTAGATATTGTAATGGTTATCTAATAATAACCTCTTTTATGCAATTGTTTTACTTTAATTAAATTCTAGTTGGGTCCAAGCCTTCAATTGCATGGCCTTGCCTATGCAATGCTTAAATTTGAGCTTGGACAATTGCTTTGAAATTTATAATTTTGCTGTTCCCTTAACTCTTAACTATTAATCTATTCCTTGTTCGAATCAGTATTCTGATGGAACGGTTCCTCTATATTATTTTAATGTTATTTAATGGTATTTGAAACTGATTTTTTTGCCCTCTTGTAAAGTTGAGAAAAATTATATATGAAGTGTTGCATCTCAAGCGACGACATACTAAAACAAGGTAAATAATCGGTTGTTTGATAAAATAATGTACAATAATATAAATGAAAATATTTTCAAAAAAAAAAAAACCACACACTGTAATTATTTTTCAAGAAAATTAATCTCTTAATCATCTAAATGAATCAACCGGTATACAATAATATAGATTTTGTATATTATATTTGTAAGTAAAACTTTTTATTGTAAAATACATTAACATTCGCTTTGGTTATTTCAATATATTAACAATAGTAGATCATAATTTCAATGAGTTATCCATATTATAATTGCTTGGTCTGATTTATTATAACCGAGATGCAAGTAAACACTTCTTACGTTTAACTTGAGTGAAGTATACTTTCCATACTTGGGTCCCAAACAGAATTGTGTATGTAAATATTTTCGTCTATGTCAGTTAGGACACATTTACCATCATCGTCAAGTATAACTTTTTTAATATATGCATTGGGATTTTGTATACTCAAGAGCAATCCTTTGAGACGACACATCTTGACGGCTATACGAAAAATTGCATCTAATTCAACTTGAAAAAAAAACAATTATTTTGTAATAATTCGTCAAATTTAGATCAATAATTTTGTTTATCGTGCAAGGCCTATTTAGTTAGGCACATGTGTACAAAATATATAATACACAGGGTGGTCGTATCGTACAGCTATGTTCTTCTAGTTGATAATTTGTATATAGGTAAACACGGCTGGACACCAAACATAACATAACTTCTTATTCGTCGAAATTGTATAAAATACATTTAAAAAAAAAAAACCTTAGTTTGTGTATAATATTAATTTTACTACTATTTATTATTAATTAATTAAACATCAATAATACTTTATAACAAAAGCATTAAAGAAAAAAAACCAATTGTCATTTGAAATTAAGTTTTGCCTTGTTCAATAAAATTCAGTAGAAGATTTTGTTGATATTGTTGATTTTAATTAATACTATGTTTAAAGAGGTATTTTAAATGTGTACCGTTTATGTTTCAATAACTGATAGTGCTTTGGAAAATACTGATTATAAAATAAACGTATTTGATATCTTGAAATATTACAGAGTAATATAAATACAAACTGTAGAAAAACTACAAAATTGTAACTGTTTTCCAAGAAATTGTATGTCTAACGTTCTAACCTAACCTAGCCTATTTAAGTAAATAGATCACCCTGTGTATATAACATGTAAGAAATTGAAATCATTAAAACTCTGAATGTATACTTACATCTTGCGATTATGGCTTGCAGAGCTAGTTTAACTCTTGATCTTCTATCAACTCCAAGTTGTGACCAACTAATATCTTCAAAAAAATACTGTGTAATTAGCAAATATTAATTAAAAATAAAAAACAAATTAGTTTTTAGCAGTAATGTTTTCAAAGTTTAGAACGTTTGTGCTATGACCCGAAAAGTTGTTTCTTGTGCTTTGTGCGGTTGAAGAGTTTGTTATTTAAGCATGTTATATTATAGTGTTTAACAAAACGGTGCTTTATTGTTTATAGGGCTGTTTTTAATATCGTATTAATGCGTGATTACTTAGGTTTACAGCATCGGGCACAGGCTGAGCTGTAACAAAAACATGAAAAAATTATAGAGTAAAAAAAACCCGGTTTGGATATTTAAATAAGGTAAAACTGTTTAAATATAACTAAGATTACTCAGACCGATTAATCAATATAAAATATGGTACAAATATTTGAATAATATTACAAACAATTCACAAAACTTTAATCGAAAAAACGTATTATAACGTTATGACTTGTACCTAGTCGAATTTTTATCGTTATTGTTTGGAATTAAGTACTAAATTTGAAATTTGTTAAATTTTACACTTACACGTGACTTTAAGTATTTCATTTTGCATAGCTTTCTGGTAATTTTTGCATTCTAACACATAAAAACCCAATTATATTTTAATGTATAGAAATGTATAGACAAGTGTATGATTAATCTCAATACTTGTATAAACTAATATAATTACTAATAAACACAACAAAGGTGATTACTTGTTAGGCAGCAAGATATTATATTTTCTAAAACCAAAACGAAAATATTTTATTCTTAATTCTTATGACACAACTATGTGGAATTACATCCATAAACTGTAAGCAATATTGTTACCTGGTGCAGCTAACATAAGAGCAATTTTTTCTGAAATAACAATAACATAAGTAGATAAATGTATAATAGTGAATTTTTAAACAATAGCAAGTTAAGCAACAAAGAAAAAAATCCGGCCATAGTGGGGGACAGGTTTGCAGGAATTTTTAATTTTGAAAGTGATAAAATCATTATAAAAAGCGTTTATTTGAAAGTGAGTACTGTTTTTTTTTTTTTTGCAAAAAACAAGTGGCCCAAAACAGTGGCGTGCACAATATTATATTATACTCCAATGAACGGGATGTCCATATTATGAATATAGGGGTCTATATATTTATTATATTATGTAGTATTATGATATTATATTGTCATTCCTACAGCTTTGACTGATTTTGATAAGCGAGACTAAAAATCAACCAGCCCATTGTTCTTTGCAATTTTTATACCATTTTCTAGTATTGTTTATGACTGACTAACTCGCCGTTATTTTTTTATTATTTTAGAATTATACTTACCCATCGCTGTAATTTGAAATATAATATTTCCAATTACATCCGGCAATCTATCTAGAATAAACAAATAATGGGTAGAGATACATGATAACATTCAAGTACAATCGTAATAGAAATATAAAACTTAAAAATAAGAGGACACCACGATTTGGCAGATAATAGTCACTAACTATTATTAGCCAAGTGTGCTCTAAGTAAATAATAAAAACGTCTGTATTTTCACAGTGCTCAGAACACTGCGGTACTTAACATTTTGAACTATTTCAATCTGAACAAATTACACAAAACATTAATTTTATTTATTTTTTGATCATTTATTATCATACAAAAATGATAAAACAACTGACTTTCAGTATATAAATTTTAAATACATCTTACCTCCTGCAAGCTCGATGTGTCTGTCTGTCGTTAATTATTAAAATGTCATGTAGATGTTAAAATAATAAAACTTATTATGTTATTTTGTATGCAAGAAATGTTTACTCACTGGTGATGGCCACCTCTTTCTTATACTCCGCTGTAAAAAAAAAATCGTTAAATATCGGTTTTGTAATGGAGTATACCAGGTATACTAAGTAGGCGTAAAGATGAAAAAATTACCGTAGGTAACTGCCAAAACTTCTTGAAGGGCAAATGATATTAAGAAACAAAAAAAGTTGATTTTTATCTGAAAATAATAATAAACAAATGCGAATTTGAATTTTTAGTTAATTTAAAATGTGTTTTTAAATGATAACTTTTTAACCATTTTAACCATATTATGTTATACTACCTATTGTTATATATTATTATTTTATAACTTTCATTCCTCATGGTTTTAAACTACAGCCAAAAAATAAAATAGTATGCTCACACCGCTTAAAGGGGAAAAGAACCAAGAACTAATTTTAGGTGTGCGACTAAGTATATTGATAATACCGTGTCTAAAGAATATTCCAAACCAATTATTTGAAACTAATTCGATAATTGAGCTAGACTTTGAAGGGAAAAACGGTGAACATTAAAAATTGTAGATCCCATGAAGTAACTTTCAGGTTTGCTTCTTGATTTATTGACTTGCAAAATTATGAATAATAATTTATACATATTGATTATAATAAATTAGGTAGACATAGCGGTATGAAAAGCGTACTTACAATCATTGCAGTCGAATTGTGTTACTTTTTTAAAATATCGAAACAATACAAATTTAAAATACAATATGATCAATTTGACGATCGGCTTTTTAAACTATCAGTTTGAAATTGATTTTATTGGGCTTTTTATGTCCACCGAAACAGTAAAATACTAGTATGTTTTTCCAATTGGTATATGCAAATACATTTTATCATGACTTACTTCATACGTACATAGCAGAGTTTTGGCTTTCATTTGAGTTATTGCTTTTACAATCACTTGTGTAAATTAACGTTTGCATTCAACGGTTTTAATTGCTTTATTGTACATGATACATGTGCATGACATTTCAGGGTTTATTTTAAGGTGTAATAGACTTCACGAATAGCTATGTGAAAAACACAAACCGTTTCCTCAGAATTCTTTGGTATTTTTTTTTTTTTTTGTAAAGTAAAATCCCCCAAGAAAATGGGGGAAATTAAATTTTGGTCGTAGGTAGTAAATTTCTAGTCAACAGCCAACATGGTGTATCTGAAAAATAATTGTATTATATTGTTGATATTGCCTTTTGTTACTACGGCTATAGCTAAACTCACAAAAAATAAACATATTTTTGGCTTTACAATTATTATTTTTATCGGTATTTTATACTTTACCATCCTCGCTCCACAGATTCAAACAGGTTGCAGAGTAGTTTCATTATGTTGTTAATAACTTTATAAGGAAAACAACACAATAAATCATTGTTTTAATAAACGAAACCCCCCCCCCCTTGGTATTCATTCAGTAAAAAAAATATATATATATTATTCTTTAAACCTTTGTTTATACAATATAAAAGCTATGTATAAAATTGCAATTCTTTAGATTAAAAATTGAGTTTTTTGTTTTGACATATTTTATTATTAGCATGTATAAATAGTTTTTACCTAATTAATACGTTGGGAATAAAAACAATTTTTCATTATTTATAAATTATAATATTCGTAGCTTATGATTTAAAAGTAGGTAGGTTGTTCAGGATGAAACATGCATAAGACTGTATTTAAAGTGGTAAACTAACTTTCAAAAATATTCAAAACTGAATATAATCTCTAACCCTTCGATGCGAAAAGTTGCTTATTTGAAATAATCTTTTTTCTTCATTAGTTATTTAATTTGTTATATTTCATCTTACTAGTACTATCTAGTGGATATAACGAGCTGTTTTTTATTTAAAAAAAATTCTTGATCAGCCAATAGATTCGTAGACCCGATCATTATTTTCATAACGGTATTCCTCGTTTTTAAATTGTTAAGAGTATCTGGAATTAATATATTTATTTTTTTTAAAAAAATATGAAAATTGGGCGCATTAAACTTATAAAAAATAATAATATGTCTTTTTCGTCGAGAAACTATACGGTGTTGTTTTCGCCAAACGCGCACGAATAACAACAGCTCTTCAAACATGACATTGAACAAATAAAGCCTTAGCTCGTGCTGCATACATTAGTTAAAACAACACACTTATTACCATGGCATAGAAATTTGCTGTGGTATTATAAAAACGCGGGACATAGCGTTTTAAAGATTGTATTATATTATGAAATTTCTGTTGGGCCGTGAAATTCTGTTATTATTAGTTTTACACAATATCATGTTGTTGGCAAAACGTTTTAATATTTTCTAATTATTTTTTTGCTAAAACTATTACTTCTTGTTAATTTCCCAACAAATTAAATTGTATTGAAAAAGCAATAGTAACTTCTTTAATACCGTATCAATTTTATTATCGGCGCTACTATTTGTTTATAGGCGAATAAAAGAAAACTCAAAAGAATAAATAAACGTCTGAACATTGTCAATAAAAAAAAAAGCGTTCAATGTTGATATTTGTGTGGATCAAAACAAAATAAATAATCAACACAATATGTATAGTTATAATGATAAAGTAATATTTCATTAAGACTAATACAATGATGTAATAGTTAAAGACATGTAAAATTATAAAGTGCCCAGATAGAGCGTTTAATTTGACTTGTTAGTTATTATTAGCTTACATAAAATCTGTGTGGAAAATTAGTAACTAAGACGCCCCCCCAATACGCTTTGATATTAGGTATATATAGATTCAACTTTCTGTAAATTATACACTAGGGAAAATTGAAAATTCAGTGTTTTCGGTGCGTTGAAAAAATAGAAAAAAAAAGGAATTTTTTTCTTTATTTTTTTTAAGGACGGGAAGCGGGAAAATACATAAAACGAACAGCAAACATACCTATATGGGATAGGTACGAATATCAAACATTGTACCTATCCCATATCGTCTTGTTATTTGTTCTAGTTTTTCTAAAAAATGTAATAGAAATATTCCTTCCCACTATCAAAACTATTACCGTTACAAACAAATTTAGTGTAGCTGTAAAACGTGGTTTGGATTGTCACGTAAGTTTAACGACAATTCAGTCGATACAGCATACTTCGTAGTGCGCAGTTAAAAATTTGTGAAAAATATTAGTGTTCATATTATAACGAATAACAATTGTACATAGTATACCTGTTTTTAATTTTTTTCGACAGTTAAAGAAGAATACAAGTAAAAAAATGTTTTTGTTCCAAGTCTGTGTTATTGCACTATGCAGTATTAGCCGTTGTCAAACGATGATAACATTGGAGACCATTCGAAATTTGCAAGAAACCGAGTCGATTTTATGAGTTTGGTGCTTTTGGACAAAACGTGCTATACTCAATATAGATCGAACGAGACCGAGGAAGCCCCGCAGAAAAGATGCGTTAGTATCCCGGACGTTCAAGTGCCATATGCAAACTACGGTGTGATGCCACCCTTTACGGTTACTGAAGATCTGGGCCGTAATATTTTTTCCACTGAAAGTTCGCTGACAGCCAATATACCAAGTACAGACTGTTTTATGGCCGTTATACTGGACACCTATTGCGGTCTTGCAGTAGGCCTGCCATTGCAAGTAGTGATGGAGAACTGTGTAAAAAAAGAACGTTACTTCGAGGCATTTATTCGCCTTATAAACGTAATTGAAAGTGAAGGCATTTCAATGTTGAGTAGATTGTGTCATGTATCAAATCAAATAATACCAAATAAGTTATCAAAAGATATTAATGAGCTCTTTGATACGATCGTTCCTATTATAGAACACATTTACAACAAGTTTAAATTTTATTTAATATCGACTGAGGCGGTGCGTCAAATAGTAACCGCCATCAACGTAGTAAGGGTGAAAGAGAGGGGGGGTTTGAAAAAACGAAAAGAATTCTTCACACTTACATGCATGGAGTTTAGTCAACGGTATGGTAACATGATGGGCTTGGTGAGTACTGGCATATATACGGACGTCGAACATCTACCGACTCCCTACAAAGCCAACCAAGAATTATCCCTTATTAGAATACGTGCAATCAGATACTTTAAAAAAGAAACGGACGCTGGACCAAGCGGTGGTGTTGGTGAATTCAATATACTGCATCAACTCCAAAATCAGGAATAAAATAGCCAATTATAATGTTTATATAGTTTATATATGTTTGCCGAAAATCCTTATGTGTTAACTAATAAAAAAAACGTACGCTTAAATGTATATGCAATTTAAACCAATTTAATAAGTACCTTACAATATTTGTATAATTATAATTATTATTGTATTATAATTTTTCGCTTTTAATAGTTTTCATCAGTTGCTTAAAAAAAAAAATCAAATTCATTATTGCAAACCTGCTCTTTTGTTTTATTATACAATTGGGAAAAAATGTATCAAACATATTAGTACTTAGTACTTTAGCAGAACTAATGATATTCCATTTATTATTTTCACAGGTAATACATTTGAGTACACTAATTTAACCCTTTAATGCGCCATGTTGCTTATTTAAAACAATCTAATTAGCCGCTGATGTTGTTTAAAAATGATAAAGACCTGATCATTATTTTTTTAACGGTATCTCTCATTTTTAAATTGTTATGGGTATAATAATATTCGTGTATTTGGCTATTGCACCGTCATTAGTATCATCATCTTAGATCAGCCATAGTTATATACTAGTCAATAGTGGATATAAAAGCAATACTGTTACTAGAATTTTATTTTTTCAAAGTATTTATATTTCAATACACTTTGTCATGGTGAGTGTCACTATGACGGTCTCAAATTCTTCTATGATGTTAGACCTTTTTTCACAGATTTTAGTTAATTTGAAATTGATGAATTTATTTTTTTAAAAATATATCAAAATTGGGCGCACTAAAACCTATAAAATTATAAAAAAGAATAATATGTTATTTTTATTCTGTACAGCCAATGTCACCATGTACAAAAAACGATACTAAAATAGAAATTTTTTCCTTTTTTTTGGAAGGACGGGAAGCGGGATACTACATGAAACAAAAATCAAACATTGTCCCTATCCAATGTCGTTTTGTTATTTGCTTCAATGATACATGCATGGAGTTTAGACAACGATATAGTAACATGATGGGCTTGGTCAATACTGGCGAATATGCGAATGTCGAAAACTTATCGACTTGCGACATAGCTGACCTAGAATTAATCTTAGATCGTGCAACCAAGTACTTTACAAGAGACACGGACGTTGGTCTAAGCGGTGGTAATAAAGAATTCAATGTACTGCATCAACTCCAAAATCAGGAAAAAAATAGCCAATTTTAATGTTTACAAGTGACATCGGATTAGTCTTAAATCTACACACACATTTTTAATCTAATTATTTGAAAAATTTATAAAAATTAAAGCTTGCATAAATGTATGTAATAAAATAGTAGCATATTATATTTAACCTCGAAATCTCCTAAAAAGTTTGCCAAAAATTCCTTTGGTGTTATCTAATAATAAAAATCTACGTTATAAATGTAAACATTTTTTTAAAAAATTACAAACTTTCTTCATAATATTTGTATAATTACTATTCTTATTATGATATCATAATTTTTCGCTTGAAGGATTTTCTTTTTTCTTTTGGTTCTTCTTAATGACATAATGTTTGACTACAGAATATATTATATATATATATATAATGTTATAGCTCTACTGTAGCTATATCTACGGTCTAGTTTTCAAACTCTAATCACTAAAACTTTGTTTGAAAAAGTGAAATAAAG